AGAAGAACCGAACTACTTTCACTCAAATTAATATGTTATTAATTAATAAATAACTATTTTGTAAAACAATAATAATTAACAATTTTTTCTTTAATTAATCTTAATTTTTTTATTATATTTCATTTTACCTTTATTTCCTTCGCTTTTCTTATAATCACTAGAACTAATATTTGAAAAAACAAGAGTTCAAAAATGACTAAAATGTATGAAATAAATAAGGATTAAAAATAATCAAAATATAACTTAATGAACCAAAGTTCTTATTTCTTAAAAGTTTAGGGCCTTGACCTCCGCCCATGCTGGCGAGTGGCATTAAATGTTCATGATTGTGATAATTGTACCGACTGCTTTTCCAGTCTGCGTCTCTTTTCTTCTTTTGCTTTCAAGTTAAGTATTGGGGACAGGGGCGTGGATTTTGATGTTATGGGATGTCTATACTAATGTATGTATGTATGGAATCTATGGATTATGGGTGGATGGTGTATGATGCATGGATTTCAATGATAATGTGGTTATGGATTATTCATGCATATAACCTTCTCTCCTTCATAAAATCATGAATAAGGGGCTCTTGGTGTCATCAGAAGCAGAATAAATAAATAAACAAAAGTAAATAGCAGAACTTATATGTTGCACAACCAGATAAACACAGAGATTGATAAAGAAAGGGGAAAAACAAAAGGGACAAGACTCCCTTGTCGAAGCAAATTCTAGATGTATGCACATTTATGCACTCAATAAATATTGGAGGAGCCAAAGATGGGTGTTCTGAAATTAAGGTGTATACACAACTGGTCATTACTTTCAGCTTTCTAATGTCTGCTTTGCTTCTGCACTGCTTGAACTGCTCTCTGAGTCGCTATCAGCTTCCTCCAAGTCCACATCACCCTTCCCGCCTCCTTCTACTAGCTTTGGAATTAGACCAATGGAGGAGGGTTGGTTGTAATAAGGCTGTGGATGGATGGAGATGCAGTTTGCACTAGGTGGATAAGATTGATAACCATCTGCAGTTGGATAAGGGCTAGGAGAAAATGCAGTTGGTGGAGGCCAATATATAGGCACAAAAGTGTTTACTGGTTGTGGTGGAAACGTATGATATGGGGTTTGACTGTGGTAGGGGACATTAGTACTTGAATCCTAAACTGTCGAGTTTGAGGTTTGTAGGGTATCTGCTGGGCTCTGAGATGGTGTAGACTGAAATGTTGTCATTGCATGAGTTTGAATTGAGGTGTAACCCATGAACCCAAATTGGGTAGCTTGTGTTGAACTTGAAGGAGCATAATCTTGAACTGAGGATCTTTGAGAATTATGAGACTTTCTATGTTTCCTTCCCCTTGGTTTTTTTGAAGTTGTCTTCCCAGTTAATTGCTGAGAGCTACAAGGACTCACCTGCTGAAAAAGCAAGTTGGAAATTATGAAACCACGAGTAAACGAGAAATTTGTACTTAAAACAGTTAACAAGTTTGGAATTCTTAACAAGAATGGATTGCATCTTTCGGTCATAACACTCATCCAAAATGTAATGTTCTATAATCATCATTCTAACAATCAGATTTATGTTATCTTCCTCTCTAGGAACATGGCAGGAGCACCAGGCTTTGAAATTGTTTATTGTGTCAGATGATAAACTAATTAAAGAACTCTGAAGAGAAAGTAGCTGGATGAGATTGAGGAGTTCTGTTATCTTACAGTATTGCATTCTACTGGATGTGAAAGAAATAGCTCCTCTCCTTCAGCATCTCATCATCTGTCCTGTAATATGAAGGCCACAGAATAAGTGAAACAGCTCCAGAATATGTTGCTCTCAAGTGTCATTAAGGAACCAAGAGAAGACCATGTAAAAATTAAAGACGGTAATGGGAATGTCCTGGCTGTTCCTGCTTAGCAGATATAGCACAGCAAATCCACATTGTGCTTATTTGTTAGATAACTTGAAAATGCCCTACAATTTTATTAAACTCAACATATGCGGCTTTGCATATGCAACAAGTCTACTATGTTGTAGAGAACTTCTTACCGATGATACTTTTGCAGCGAGTCTAAATTCCTATATTTGGTTTCTCTCTTAACCATGTCATCTGGGAAATCAGCCATGAACAAGAGTGATACCCAAGGCCTTGAAGAAGAAGCTCCCACTGCGAATATGGACTAGCATTGCCATTCGGCACATAACAGGCCCAAAAGACTTTAGCTTGTTTCTCCTCCATTCGCTGCCTGACATATCTGGAAAAAATCAGCCCACAAACATTTCTAGATTAGGCTCTTAAATGACATTCCAAATATTTTTAAAGTTATTATTCACACACAAGTAGCAACATGGCGTTTCATTGAAAAAACTTACAAGGTCAGGTTTCTCAATATTAAGATTTTCACTAACGGAAGATACTAAGATTTGCATTTGTAAGAATTTTTATGAGTATGTTGATGGGCAGTGATCAATACTAGCGAGGGGCCAGAAATTTCTTCTAGAGGGGCAAAACGAAATTTTGACAAAAATACAATGCGTCTTTGCATTAATTTAAAAGTCAACAAAAACAAAAATTTTAATAAAAAGAAAATTATTTTAAAATAAAATTTATTAGTCTTTCATGATAAACTAATATTAATTGATGACATGGTATTATATACATATAAATGATAAAATAAACATATATTAAATATAAGAACACTAATAAACAAATAAATAAAAGTAAAAGGCACTTG